GGGCACGACTCAATCAGAGACCTTCCTGAAGTTGAGTTTTCAACTTAACAATCTTGTACATGGCCTAATCTAACATCTGCTACCTTCTCTTCAACAGCCGCTTACACTTTGTCAGGGGCAAGTGCTCCTGGGATTGCTTATGTCATCCCAGGATGTGACGAGCTGAAGTCGACTACACTTGCGTCTGATCCAACAGTTCCTTGTGTCTTACATAAGACGTCAGGACCAGGGGTCCGGAAACTGTCATATGCGCCGGACATGTCCGATTGGGAATCTCAAATGTCCGTTTTAAAATATTGCTTACCAGACATTTTAAAAAGTATTGTCCGGACATTCTTAAATTTTGACCGGACATGATCAACAGTTAGGACTGAGAAGTTTCTGTCTGCAGTTGCAACACAATGAAGATTAACTACACTGACAAGCTTTGTTTGTTTTGATTGCTGTAACTACATCGTACCTACATGATAGTCCAATCGGTCAATCACTGTAATAGGCAATAAACTGAGTTGACACTGATTAATCGAGGATTAATTACTGAGAACATCTTGTTAATTTGAATGAAAGGTGTTTACAACTGTACATTAATACCTTGCATCATCGATGTACCTCATTATCCTCACAATGCTTCGATAAGTAACCTCAGACAAGAAGCGAAAGCGTGACGACAGCCAGTCGACCGATGCAGATCAGTCGAGCGGATCTGCCAAACCCTCAAAGTCTGGACGATCATTTTGTAAGTCGTGGCTAACGGCTTTCACTTGGTTGACATACAATGAGGATTTGCAGATTTTATTTTTTTCAGTAGCTAGTCGTATATTGAATCTTGATTGACCGCCATTTTGCCATCTCGGACGATCGATATCCAATTTTTTTATGGTCAATAATTAAGGACAGATGAAAAAGTATTCAAATAACTATTGCTATCAACGATATTTTAGTATTTGTGATTAAATTATCTGTCTCGTTTTTAAAAAAATCTTTAGTTTAAAAAAACACTTTTCCCGTGAGGTCACGTGATAACCAAATATGGGATAATAGTCTCGATCCAAATGTTACAACGCGTACACTTGAGCAGACTCATGAATATTAATTAGACCGTTCACTCCGTTAATAGATCGTTATTATAACAGAAACAAACGTATGTTTTCCATGTAAATCTAAAATGATATTATTTGTTATTAATTGTCCGGTGAATTAAACAATTTAAATTGAAACAATTCATAATTCATCATATTATGAATACGTAAACTTGTAATGTGTGTGAAAAGTCGTACTAACATACGCTATTTGAAGGGGGCGTGGCCTAAATGCAAATGTCCGATTGGGATTTTAAATTTTCCGGACCCCTGGTCAGGACCCTTGGCCTATCTGCTGCTCTACCCCCTCACCTCGGGAGTCATCTCAGCTGGTGAACAGTAGAGTTGAACGTCTCAGGTGGAGTCCCCTCAACAGAGTTATCTCCAATGTCCCACCTGTTTTTAGACGCCTCTACGGGTTGGGGTGCGCATCGATAGGACCAGACGACCTCAGAGTTGTGATCTTGCTCACAGTGTAATTGGCACATCAACAACATGGAGGCAATATCACACTGGCAGGAGTGCTGCCGGTACACACTTAACTCGCCATCTCCACAATCAACCTCATGGTGGTCTGGTGCCTGCGCAACGAGCAGATGGCACACTCTCACACCCTCCTTCAACAGACATTGACTGTTCTTTCATCTGGTAGATCGGCTGAGCCTATATGTTCTGGTGCAGCACATTCCTGGATGTCAGAAGGTTCTGGCAGACGATCCATCCAGGCCAGACAGGGTATTTCCCACTGAGTGGAAGTTTGCTCCTGAGGTTTTCCCCTCATGTATCAGTGCCTTGGTCATACCAACATAGACCTCGTTGCCACTTGCCAGATATACCAAATCGCACGTTCTGTCTCCCCAATCCCAGACCCGCAGGCTTGGGTGGTGGACGCCTTCAGCTTTTTCTGCAACCAGTACTTCTTCCCAGGGTGATGTAGAAGATCAGGGCAACCAAGAGCCTCGCTCTCATTGTGATCACACCTTGATGACCGGCGAGAGGGTAGTTAAGAAAACTGATCTTGAGAGAGCTCTAGGCACAACAGGCTCTTCCACACAGGCGGTTAAGGCTATTGATATGTCACATAGACCTTCGACCCAAGACCTTTATGATGATAGGTGGCGATCCTACGGAACCTTTTGTATAGGAAAGGATCAGGACACCACGACTGCATCCTTCAATTCTTGGCAGAAAACCTCCATTATCTGCATACTTAGCAACACCTAAAAGGAAGCACCATTACTACCAATTTTGGTGCCTCTCAATTCGGTGTTGGCTGTTCTAGAAGATAAAAAATGACCAAGATCCCAGAACTACAGGCACTATGAGCCTCATTATGCCTTGTAGATCAGAAGGCCAAGTCTTGTCCTCCAGCATGGGATTTGAATGTCTGACATCGGTGTTTGTGTGCTCCCCCTTTTGAGCCTCTTCACGCTACATCATTGTATAACCTCACCAAGAAAACAATAGTCTATTTGGCACTGGCCATGGTAGGCAAGGGATAGTGAACTTCACACTCTTGACATTACCCATGTACGTTCATCTCGGACTATGCTGGGATTTCATTGCCAAGAATCAATTACCTGGTCAACCTGCCTGGTCATTCTCCATCCCAGCTTTATCATCAATCGCGGGAGCTGAAGACAAGGAAGAACTCTTATTATACTGTGTGGTGCTCAGATATGTCTATTTATTCCCGTATCCCTGACCTCCATGACCAAAGCCAACCTTAGCACTATATCATTATGGTTGCAAGTTATCCTCCTTCAGGCTTATGATTCCAACAACCTTGATCCACCAAGAGTTATTAACCCTCATGAGATTCCAGCGGTTGTCTCCACAATGGATCTACACTGCTGTATTAGAGCCATCATGGAAGGCTGTTTTGGGGGCTCAGACACTGAAGTCACAAGCCACTACCTGAGGAATGTGACCTTGGAAGATGTTGAAGGCGTTTCTTGTTTTGGACCTCCGGTCGAAACCCAGCAAGTCACCAATCCTTTTTAGTCATTAGATTGCTCCTCCTGTCCAGAGCCAGCCTGACCCGACTCGCACAATGTTAGCATGCCTGACAAGTCTTTTTTCTACTAACCAGCATTTTAGCTGGTAAATCCGTTTCTATACTTTAGACACGATTGGTCAAAGTAATTACAGATCTGCGCAAGTGATGCGCTCAGCGACTGACGTGAACTACTCAAAGAGTTTATGTTACTGAGGACTGTATTTGGGAAGTATGCTCTCGACTATACTGTCCGATAGAGATACATTAAGGAGTAAAAAAAGAGTTTTAAAATCCAGTAAAATCTAGATATTTTTATATTTGTATACTTATCCTGCATTACTTTGTCTAAAGTCTCCTTTCCGTCGCAGAGCTGCCTCCCCAAGATGTCTTCAGATCTTACGATCTAGCAGTAATGTGATGGTCCATGGCATCATCCCTCCCAAGGTCATGTGGATTAGCCACACACCTAGTTGAAACAACTTCTTCTTCAGCTGCACCACACACAGCTTCTTCTTTCTGTCAAAACAAGCAGTAAATGCAATAAGGAGTAACGCAGTATAAGTATACAATTATACAAAATATCTCAATTTTACCAGTTCCTATAATTCCTATAAATTCCTATGTTTTAAAATGTCCACTATACTTCCCTAAGATTTAGATTTTATCCCTATGATTCCTATATTTTAATGTCACTACTAACTGCTGAGAAATCAGTGCTTTAGATTTTATTTTGTTGGAGCAAAAAGAAAAGCTAATGATGTGCTCCTGTCATTTCTCAGCACTGAAGTTTGGTACCCCTCCATATCATCCATGTTAAGTCCATCACCCACAGTATGACATTCATGTTGAAGCAAGTCTAGCGCTGATTAGGACTTGAATGGACTGATATTGCTCAAACCGGTGCTTCCAGCGCAGACAAATGTCAGGAAAGATAGAGTATTTAAATTGGCAATTGAAAAAAACCTGAATCTGGGTATCCAAGTTTCCTTTACACAGCTGTATCTTTAATTGTAAGTCAAGGAAAATTCCTATAAAACCCCTATGATTTTCAAAATTTCCCCTATATTTTTCTTTTTTTGCCCCTATTATTCCACCATATTTTAAGCAAGGGTGGGATGCCTGAGTTTATTCTGTGGAGGATTGCTAGTTTTATGTTTATCTTTTTCATTTCTATCTGATTTGTCATTGGTTTCTGTCAAAGCAGTGCTTTCTTTGTGAAAATAGGATGTGATTATCCTTCCCTCTGCATGATACTTGTCTTCATGAAAACTATGGCTAGGATATGTTTAACTGTACAGCATCATCTATACAAATCTCAATCATCGAAATGAAGATTAGTGTAACATCTCTTGAACAAATCTAGCAATCCTTATATCTTTGTTTTGTAAATTTGATGGGTTGCAATTGATTATGCAATCTATTGCAAGTTATTTATAACTGATGTAAATTATACAAAACTTAACCAATGATTCTCCACCCATAAAGATCCGTGGTTAGAATTATGTCTTCAGCAACCCATGCTTGTTATAAGAGGCGGCTAACGGGATCAGGTGGTCAGGCTTACTGACTTGGTTGATGCATGTCATCGTATCCCAATTGCATGATCGATGCTCTTGATATCAATGTCTGGATTGTCTGGTCCAGACTCGATCATATAGCTTGAATCTTGCTGAACGTGATGTTAAACAACTAAGAAGACAAAAAAAAATTTCCATGATTCTCCCACATTTACATTTATTTAGTTGACATTCCCTACCCTCACTTACAATTTGGATTGTTGTATGTGGTTATAATATCTGAAATATTGTCTCGACTAAGATGTTTACAGGCTGCCTTTGTGTTGCTGGATTATCTTAAAAAATTCATTATGCAAAATTTCAGGTGAGTTATTGACCCTATTGTTCTTTTCCTTTCTGTTAAAGAGTGGACACTATTGACGAGACATTTCAAGAACTAACTCTGAAGCTTCATGATACAGTCGGGAGGAAACATAGTCTTCTTCTTAACCTCAATCATCAGGTGATAGGATATATAATATAGTTTCCTGTAATGATGGCGTTTTGAACAAAATTATCATTTACATTGATATTTATGATAATATTCTGTTGTTAAACAATGAAAATCTTATGATGCTCATGACAGCTGTGAAACAGATACTACCAATTTGCAGCTAGCATCTTCCCAATGGAAGGGAGTTAACTGATTAAAAAAGTCTGTTGTCCGCCCTTGCCGAACTAGGCTGGAATTATGAAGTTATATTTTGGCTGTTCTAATGAGTCTATGCAAAGTCCAAACAAAATCATGTAACGAAATCGACATCCTGTTCGTTAACTGCTGTGCAGATTTCAGGATTTGCAAAGCATGTGTAACACCAACTCGGCATCAAAAGATATTTTCCAGTATACTGATTGAGCCCAGAAATTCCAGTCTAGTTCGGCAATTGTGGAAACTGGACTCTTACAGTTAACTTCCTTGCCACGGAAAGATGTCTGCTCGAGACTCATAAAAACACTCATCTTAGTTTTAGCACACAAAACATACATGAGCAGTAGACAGTAAATATGAATGAGTATATTACATTCCCTTCTATGAATTTTGGACAGTTTAGGTTAAATGTTTTTGTGGAAGGTGGACACTTTGATTCCAGGACTATTGCAATCAATTATTGATCTTTTGATATCAATTGAGACAAGGCCAAGGTATCACTGCCTGAGCCATGGGGCTCTGAAGGGAAAATGAGCTCGGGTTGGGTTTAGGTGGAATCGAGTCCTATGTCAAGGACCTGCCTCAGGCATTACTTCCACAAGTTAGCTGGCTGACTGTGATTGGATGAACTGTCAGAACAAAAACATGTCACTTCACTGGCAGACATGTTTGGTATCTGCAAGCACATGGCCTACAACAGGTTACAGTTTTCGACAACTATCTCACAAATTTGTTTCCATCATAGTTCTTTTCTTCGTGTTAGATAATTATTTCCATTGGTTCCCTGTTATTGAACCTATTGAATAGCGAAAGCAGTGCCATTGCGATCGTTTGTATGTTCTCCTATTAGCAATGTACTTCTAAAATCACTCACAGCTTTACTTTGTACAAAAATAATTATGAATAATTATGATTTGCAAAGAACCTTTGTCAGCTCAAGGTCTTAGCCGACATATGTCTGTCATTGAGCCTGATATATTAGGATCGTGTTTGATTAACAAAAACAACCGTAATTGGCTTAAAACTATGTTACTGCTGATTTTCTTTTGATATACAGCCAAAAATAACTTGAGTAATAAGATGTTATTTTGTATTGACGTCTTTCCTTGATGCTATGCCTGTTTTCTTGACTGGTCTGGGTCGGCCATGTGCATGGATCACAATAAATTTGTGAGCATTTGAGCATCAGTATGAACTAACCCACATGCAACAGATGGCACAAAAATGAGATTCATTTTGTTTTTTCAACTCATACTAGATATTTGTACCAAAATAAAGTTGAAGTGTCATAAACTTGTTACTTTATAGGTCAGGTGAGCTACAGAGCCTTGAGGCTCCACCTACTTTATTCATAAATCAGTAGATGGTAAACAACTTTACGTTAATATTTCACTCTCTTACATCAGCAATTGTCTGATTTTTCAGAAAGAAGCAACAGAAATGTGCACTGTTAATTTACCCATACCCACAGACTTCATCATCAATCAAGATGAACAGGTGAGTTAACATATACTCTTAAATAAGTAGGGGAAACTCAGAAATAACTTCACATTTCCAAACTTGTTAGAGATATCAGTTTCTAGGTACAGTTGTATGATAATAATAAACAAATTGGGAACACATTACAACCAGTAGTGAAGTACCCCAAATAATCTTGAAGATCGGGGTTAGATGAGAAATTTCAAAGTTGGCATTCTGTTGCTTAACGACACACTCAGCAATAGTCCATCTATATGACGGCGGTCTGTAAATAATTGAGTCTAGACCAGACAGTCCAGTGATTGACATCATGAGCATTGATCCACACAATTGGGATCGATGACATGCATCAACCAACTCAACCACCCGATCCCATTAGTCGCCTCTTACGACAAGCATAGTCCCCTTTGACTGCAAGCATGGGTTGCTGAAGACCTATTCTACCTCGCATCTTCACGGGTCGATTGCACAGTATGTTTGTCGTCATCAATTATCTTTGTTCTAATACTTGGTATTAACATTTATATTTCATGATCTGCAACTTTTTTTGAAGAGTATACTATGAATGCTGTGTATGTAAGTTGTCTTCCTTTTGCAATAACATGTAACAATAACTGTTTAATGTTGTTGTGCATGTGTCTGAAAATTTTGCTTAGCCTATTAGTTAAGATTGGTTTAAGTTCTATTAATCATTCTGATCCATGACTGCTACATTTTTGACAATTACTTGGCAACTATTGCTTTGTGATTTGGTGATGTACCTAATCATTAATAATCCTCTACCTCTATAACATCATTGCCAAATTCCTGTATTTTGGCTGCAATCACTTAGAACTAAACTTTCAGACTTTCAACACAAGTCCTCTTCACTGTCAACTCTACATCAAGCATTTGTTACCACAACAGCACTCAATCAGCCCAAAGCGCTTTCATGTGTGAAGGCAGGGAAAACCTCACTTTTTTCCTGTGTGTGCTGGAGTCAAGACATCCTATGTACTTCTCCTCTTAGCCTTAGTTGGAGTGACACTATTCTAGAAGAAGATGCAGACATCCGGGTACTCTGGACTCTGAAGCTTAGGCAAGATCATGGAGACCTCCATCCTTCTTTGTCGTCACTTTTAACAGAACCTTACAAGCCCCTGGCTAAGGCCACCTTACTCCAAAAATCCAGGAAAGCCTCCTTTCTCCTAGCCATGGTGACAGCAGCAAGAGTTTCAGAACTTCATGCTCTGGACTATTCTAGTCTCACCCATGATCAACATTGGGCCTTAATTAATCTAAGATCGCTCCTAGAATTTGCAGCCAAGAATCAGACTACCACCATGGGACCGTTGGGCCAGAGACACTATACCATTCCTGCCTAGGGTCCAACAGTGGATCACCCAGACCGGCTTCTCTGTCCCATTAGAGGTCTCAAATTCTACCTCTTGGCTACAGACCCACATTGACGTCATCAAAGGAGACTTTTCATATCCTGCTAGCCTCATTCCAACAAGGACATCACCAAGGCTATGGTAGTGGGCTGGCTAAAATCTACTGTTGCAGCAAAGTATACGCAGACACAGAATTCCACTCCCGTCTTGGATCCTGCTCAGCTCATGAAATCAGAGCCCTAGCCACGAGTCATGATTCATGGACATCCGTTTCAGTAGAACAAGTGGTATCTCGTTGTCAGTTGGCCTCACAAAACACCTTCACCAGCTTTTACTTGCATGATGTACAGGGGTGGGGGGTGGGGAAGGATCTGACACCGGCAACATCAGAAGGTGAGAACACCCTTGATTATCCTGTTATTAGGTGCTGGATGGATTAGGAATTAGGAGCACCTTGAGTATCAACTGCTTCAAGAACTAGGTGCAGATGACCAGAAGTGACGTCAGAGCCGGAGGAGATAGAAACCGGAAGTGACGTCATCACTGGAAATAGTAGTACAAGGTCCATATAATCAGGAAATGACATCTTTTGGTAGAATTAGACCATTAAGAGACATCTCTATTCAATAAAAGGGGAAGTCACGTCATTACCGGAAGTGACGTCAGCACCAGAAAATGGGTCACGAATCCATTTTTAACAGGAAATGACTTCAATTGGTAGAAATAGACCAGAAATGACGTCATTATTACTAACAAGATCAGCAAATATAACGGTATCACGTATTTGACTGTTTCTTGATGCATTCTGATTTTCAAGTGAGCAGAGAAAATCAGAGAAAATTATCTAGGGTCAGGATTAGAATCAGCGATTAAATGGTTTCCACAAGAGGATTACTGTCAATTACACAGGGAGTTTCTAGAGGCAGATCCTGCCAGGTTCTTCTGGTATATTCTGGCAAAGATGTAATAGAAGTAGAGGAATCTCAAGAATTATCGAACAACAGTTATCATTGTTAATAATTCTAAGGATACTACTTCTATTACATCAGAAGTACTCCCACACACCTCCCCAATTCATCTACGTCTAGTGGTTAGATGTTGGAAAGAAGTGAGGTTTCCCTCATAATGCATGTCATAGCTTGGGTTGCTATAGAACTATTCGGGAACAGCTAATTGTGTGTAATTGACAGTGAAGAGGACGTCTGTTGAAAATCTGAAAATTTAGTTAGTGTGACTGAAGCCAAAATAAAGGATTTGTGGCAAAGATGTAATAGAGGTAGTATTCTTAGAATTATTAACAATGATAACTATTGTTTGATTTCTCATTTATTTGACTTGGCCCACTCATTCAATTGCTGGATGTAAGCGAGAAATTCAAGGGAAATTGAACATGCTTGCAGGCAGTCTGTCAAGATGACGTTGGATTGTAGCTATGGAATGGACACTCCATCAAGATATCTTCGCCTGGATCATGTCAATATGAGAAATTCCACACCTGGATCTGTTTGTGACTTACCTAATTATCAGTTCCCCATTTACGTCAGTCTGGAACCAGACCTGAGGGCATTACAGATCGACGCCCTGTCGATTTTTGACAGGTCTCTTGGCTTGTGCATTCCCTCCGTGGTCTCTCCTGGACAAGGTGATTAAAGAGACTGTATTGTCATTCTGATGCCCAATCTGGCCCAACAGTTTTCCAGACCTCTGTCTCTACTAATGATGGCGACGACGATGTGGTTTAGGTGATGTTGCCTTTTGTATCCCCATGGTTGCTGATTTTTTCTTACACCTTCGAAAGGATAAGAAGTTTCAACATGGAACTATTGAAGGATTTGTGACAATTTTATGATCAGCAATCATCCTATCTTGAACAGACTCATAGGCTCATTCCTCCTAGAAGATATTAGTATTCCACGCATATTTCCGAAATGGAACTTATCTTTGGTCCTATCAGCTGTTCGAGCAGAGTCCTTCAAACCTCTCGCTTCCACTACTTGGCTTCAAAAATCAAAGAAATCAGCCTTTTCACTAGCCATAGACTATTCTTGTCTTACTCATGCTCCAAACTGGACCTCCACCACTTTAAGATCTCTTCCGGAATTTGTGGCAAAGAACCAAGTTACACCCTGGGTCACAGACATTACACAATCCCAGCATTAGGATCAACTGTACACCATCGGGATTGTCTATTGTGTCCTGTAAGACCTGTTCTGCCTGTCTGCTACAGATCCTCATCAACGATTTCAGAAGAGACTCTTTATCTCATGTAAAACACATTCCCACAAAGACATCACCAAAGCTACAGTAGTGGGATGGTTTCAGTCCACAATAGCCTCAAGTTATCGTCAGGCCCAAGCTTCTCCTCCTCTTCTTGGATCCTGTACTGCTCATGAGATTAGAACACTTGCCACACGTCTTACGTCATGGACCTTGGTTTCCTTGGTACAAAAAGTTGCAAGCTGTCAATAGGGATTGCAGAACACCTTCACCAGCTTTTTTTACCTACGTGACACACAGCCTGATCTTCAGGGGATCTACTCTCTGGGCCCTATTGTTGCAGCACAGGACAATAGTTTCCTTTTCCTCCCTTCTTCGGAAAAAAATAGGAGGACAAAAATTTTCACCAGCAGCATCAGAAGGTGAGTACACCTTTTCTTCAGCTACTAAGTGTATCTTAAAACTATAATGGAGTTAGAATGTTAACTGAATGACCGGAAGTAACGTCGCAATCGGAAGGGAAATTAGACAGGAGATGACATCATAAAAAACAGAAATGTCGTCATTTAGACCGGAAGCTACCAGTAGTAAAAGACCGGAAGTGATGTCATAAAGCGGAAACAGAGGTCACTTGGACTGGAAGTGAGGTCAAAACCAGCACTAAAAGACCGGAAGTGACGTAAAATTAAACATAATGATATCCAAGAGACTGCAGGGATAATCATTAAAAGGAATATCAGCAATATGACGTTAGTTCTAAATCACATATTGGCTGATTATTCCACTGCACGATTTTCAAGCCCTTGCAAAGTGATTCAATGGTTGTAAACTCTTGGGGATTTGAAGAAGATTTATATAAAGGAATCACAGGAGGTTCTCAGAATTGCTGTCAACTATACAGAGAGTGTACAAGAGGCAGAACCCGCCTAAACCTTGTAGTTAAGAGTTATTGTGGTTTCAAATATGGACAGCTGATAACTATTGTGTTTGTTTATGTTACAGGTTTCTCTACAAGATTTAATGAATCAGTTTCGAAACATGGTCAAAAGATGTGAAGATTTCTGGGAGATGATGTCTGAGATTGATCAAAACACATGGGTGTTAGAACCAGAGAAACCAAGCCCAAGTGACTGTCATCGAAGATTGGCTCTAGGTATTGAGTGTCATTAGTATTACTTCAACATAGATATATCATGTATCAATCAGCCACTGACCTCCCTTGTGGTCTAGTGGATAGAGAGTATGCCTGGAGAGTGGAAAGTTGTGGGTTCGATCCCCAGCCATGTTATACCAGAAGACATTGAAACATAGTACTTGTTGTTGCCCTGCCTGGCTAAAACAAGGACTGGTCAGCTCGGAGTCGGTTTATTGTGTCTGAGTGTGGTATTCATGTTTAACTGCAGCATGGTATCTCAGTGGGATAGCACTATGAACTTGGCATTAGTCCGGACTAGTACAAGCAGCTACACACACACACACACACACACACACACACAAAGCGTGCATGCATGTTGCTATGTAAGTGTTATAATCTTGAATGCGACGTTAAACTCCATTTTACATCACTTCACATCAGCAACTGTGAATGTCCCTTTCAAACTTGTGAAATATGGAAGATGTTGAAAACGCAGGCCTACTCAGTAGGCCAAGTTATTATAGGCATCATCCCAGCAACCGGAAGTGTTGGGGCATGCATCTTTTGTCGGTGTTCCCTCGCCGTTTTGGTTTGAGTCTGTATACACTGGATACAATATTCATGTCCGTTAAAAGTCGAATCATAGGACCTATAAACCCCACAAACAAATGCTTGCAAATGATTTCACACCGAACTCAGACCAAAGTTCCATGTGAGCTAGTGGCATGTTCTGTCCATTAATGTTTTGACTCCTCCTCTAAAACTGGTTGAAGAGTGGAGTCTGAAACTTCAGGGGGATGTCTCAGATCAAAATAGACATAGTTGTACTTTGCTTTATATATTATAAATATTTATTTTTTTATTTTTTTTAAATGAACTCAGAAATGAAATCACATGGTCAAGGAATCTGAAACTGATTTAGATTTGTTACATTTGACCACTTTCAAAAAGGCATTGGGTGTTCATTGCTTTATGCCATGGGAGCCTGACAGCTTGTGTCAGAGGGGTACACAAAGTACGTGATCTAGACTATCAGTTGTCAGACTTTTGTGGAAGCCATGGTGGCTGAGTGGGTTAGATCACTGACCTTGTGTGCTGGCGATTAGGTGCCTCACTCTTGAGAGTGTGTGTTCAAATACGGGATGGGACTTCAAAACGTACTAGAATTGTACTTGAGTAAGAAAGTGTTATCTCAAATATATCATTTGTTACATTTGACCACTTTCTAAAAGGCATTGTGTATTCAATGTTCATACAAGTTAAGTAAATAAATTACTTTGCTGAACTTATTCTTAAAAATTGTAAAATATACTCACCGACAATAGAAAAGCGAATACCATGCATGTTGGTTAAAATATGAAGAATTGCTCATATTCAAGAGAGTTTAGATTGGTTCGATGCACAAATGAACATACTGCTCTGAGGAAGGATAAAGTTGTGCACTGACAGTGGTTGTCCAACGTGATGGTAACTAAAATGATGAAGCATGGCGGAACAGGAAGTGTTTAATGCGCATGTGTCCGCTTACATCAATTACAATACTTACAACAATAACACACATAACAACATGCTGTCTTCAACCCCATCATGAGATTCTTCTTGCTGGGGGATGTTAAAGTCACTTACACATTCCCTCAGTGGAATCTCTCGGTTGTTTTGTCTGCTCTCTTGGAAGATCCATTTGAACCATTGGCATCTACTACGTTATAACAAATGACAGAGGATGTAACTCTCATATCAGTTTAGCACGACACCAACAAGGATTTTGTCTAAAATTAGCATGATTAGTCAAAGGGATAATTTTTTCAAGATTTTACAAAAATGTTAAGTTGAGACAATGAAATTAATAACTTCTTCAGGTCCAAGTGCATCTCTACACATCAAAGTTGATGCAGCACAACCCAGATTACTACCACAGTGCAGTTTTTTAGGAGCAGATCAAGGTAAGTTACAATAAACCTGTCTCATATTGTCATGAGGAATGTGTGGGAGGGTGGTGGTGGTCAATGGCAGTGATTTTGATGTTGCTATTGCTTGGAACTGCTTTTGGTTGTGATTTTAGGATATATTTACAGACTGTTAATTTTGTTAGATGGTACTTCATTGGGTGGCGTCTACCACAGCCTACAGGCAACAGGTTTATTCAAGACTAGGATGTACAGTAGGGTGAACGTGTTACAAACTGGTATAAACCATCAGTGGTTTGGACATACTTGACAGGGCAATCAGCAGTCGATAGATTGTGTATGTATGGATGACTGTACCAGGCTCCAGGGTTCCATAGAGGGATAAGTTGCATCTTTGAAGATCGCCCTGGCACAATTTTAAGGCGGTAAGGACCGCAGTGGTAGAGAACTCTGGAGAAGAAATTCCAGATGTAACCTACCCCAGGAAGTAAACCCGATCTGAAACTGAAACTCACAATAAATTGACAAAATTTCAGCAAACTAACTTTGTACAAACTTACATAATAATGCTGACCATCTGCCACCCAGTGACTAACATTCTCTGCTGCCCAGTGACTAACATTCTCTGCCAACCAGTGACTAACATTCACTGCCACCCAGTGACTAACATTCTCCGCCAACCAGTGACTAACATTCACTGCCACCCAGTGACTAACATTCTCTGCCACCTAGTGGCTTACATTCTCTGCCACCTAGTGACTAACATTCTCTGCCACCTAGTGGCTTACATTCTCTGCCACCTAGTAGCTTATATTCTCTGCCACCTAGTGACTAACATTCTCTGCCACCTAGTGGCTTATATTCTCTGCTGCCCAGTGGCTAACATTCTCTGCCACCCAGTGACTAACATTCTCTGCAACACAGTGGCTTACATTCTCTGCCACCTAGTGACTAACATTCTCTCCCACCTAGTGACTAACATTCTCTGCTGCCTAGTGGCTTATATTCTCTGCTGCCCAGTGACTAACATTCTCTTCTGCCTAGTGGCTTATATTCTCTGCTGCCCAGTGGCTAACATTCTCTGCTGCCCAGTGGCTAACATTCTTTGCCACCTAGTGGCTTACATTCTCTGCCACCCAGTGGCTTACATTCTCTGCCACCCAGTGGCTTACATTCTCTGCTACCTAGGGACTAACATTCTCTGCCACCCAGTGGCTTACATTCTCTGCTACCTAGGGACTAACATTCTCTGCCACCTAGTGGCTAACATTCCCTGCCACCCAGTGGCTAACATTCTCTGCCACCCAGTGACTAACATTCTCTGCCACCTAGTGGCTTATATTCTCTGCTGCCCAGTGGCTAACATTCTCTGCCACCCAGTGGCTAACATTCTCTGCCATCCAGTGGCTTACATTCTCTGCCACCCAGTGGCTGACATTCTCTGCCACCTAGTGACTAACATTCTCTGCCACCCAGTGGCTTACATTCTCTGCCACCTAGTGACTAACATTCTCTGCCACCTAGTGACTAACATTCTCTGCCACCCAGTGGCTTACATTCTCTGCCACCTAGTGACTAACATTCTCTGCCACCTAGTGGCTTATATTCTCTGCTGCCCAGTAGCTAACATTCTCTGCCACCTAGTGACTAACATTCTCTGCCACCCAGTGGCTTACATTCTCTGCCACCTAGTGACTAACATTCTCTGCCACCTAGTGACTAACATTCTCTGCCACCTAGTGACTAACATTCTCTGCCACCCAGTGGCTTACATTCTCTGCCACCTAGTGACTAACATTCTCTGCCACCTAGTGATTAACATTCTCTGCCACCCAGTGGCTGACATTCTCTGCCACCTAGTGACTAACATTCTCTGCCACCCAGTGGCTTACATTCTCTGCCACCTAGTGACTAACATTCTCTGCCACCTAGTGACTAACATTCTCTGCCACCCAGTGGCTTACATTCTCTGCCACCTAGTGACTAACATTCTCTGCCACCTAGTGGCTTATATTCTCTGCTGCCCAGTAGCTAACATTCTCTGCCACCTAGTGACTAACATTCTCTGCCACCCAGTGGCTTACATTCTCTGCCACCTAGTGACTAACATTCTCTGCCACCTAGTGACTAACATTCTCTGCCACCCAGTGGCTTACATTCTCTGCTGCCCAGTGGCTAACAATCTCTGCTGCCCAGTGACTAACATTCTCTGCCACCCAGTGACTAACATTCTCTGCCACCTAGTGACTAACATTCTCTGCCACCTAGTGACTAAGATTCTCTGTCACCCAGTGGCTTACATTCTCTGCCGCCCAGTGGCTGACATTCTCTGCCACCCAGTGGCTAACATTCTCTGCCACCCAGTGACTAACATTCTCTGCCACCTAGTGGCTTATATTCTCTGCTGCCCAGTGGCTAACATTCTCTGCCACCCAGTGGCTAACATTCTCTGCCACCCAGTGGCTAACATTCTCTACCACTCAGTGGCTGACATTCTCTGCCACCTAGTGACTAACATTCTCTGCCACCCAGTGGCTTACATTCTCTGCCACCTAGTGACTAACAATCTCTGCCACCTAGTGACTAACATTCTCTGCCACCCAGTGGCTGACATTCTCTGCCACCTAGTGACTAACATTCTCTGCCACTCAGTGGCTTACATTCTCTGCCCCCTAGTGACTAACATTCTCTGCCACCCAGTGGCTTACATTCTCTGCTGCCCAGTGGCTAACAATCTCTGCTGCCCAGTGACTAACATTCTCTGCCACCCAGTGACTAACATTCTCTGCCACCTAGTGACTAACATTCTCTGCCACCTAGTGACTAAGATTCTCTGTCACCCAGTGGCTTACATTCTCTGCCGCCCAGTGGCTGACATTCTCTGCCACCCAGTGGCTAACATTCTCTGCTGCCCAGTGACTAACATTCTCTGCCATCCAGTGGCTAACATTCTCTGCCACCCATTGACTAACATTCCCTGCCACCCAGTGACTAACATTCTCTGCCACCTAGTGGCTTACATTCTCTGCCACCTAGTGACTAACATTCTCTGCTGCCTAGTGGCTTATATTCTCTGCTGCCCAGTGGCTAACATTCTCTGCTGCCCAGTGGCTAACATTCTCTGCTGCCCAGTGACTAACATTCTCTGCCACCTAGTGGCTTATATTTTCTGCTGCCCAGTAGCTAACATTCTCTGCCACCTAGTGACTAACATTCTCTGCCACCCAGTGGCTTACATTCTCTGCCACCTAGTGACTAACATTCTCTGCCACCTAGTGACTAACATTCTCTGCCACATAGTGACTAACATTCTCTGCCACCTAGTGGCTTATATTCTCTGCTGCCCAGTAGCTAACATTCTCTGCCACCTAGTGACTAACATTCTCTGCCACCCAGTGGCTTACATTCTCTGCCACCTAGTGACTAACATTCTCTGCCACCTAGTGACTAACATTCTCTGCCACCCAGTGGCTTACATTCTCTGCTGCCCAGTGGCTAACAATCTCTGCTGCCCAGTGACTAACATTCTCTGCCACCCAGTGACTAACATTCTCTGCCACCTAGTGACTAACATTCTCTGCCACCTAGTGACTAAGATTCTCTGTCACCCAGTGGCTTACATTCTCTGCCGCCCAGTGGCTGACATTCTCTGCCACCCAGTGGCTAACATTCTCTGCCACCCAGTGACTAACATTCTCTGCCACCTAGTGGCTTATATTCTCTGCTGCCCAGTGGCTAACATTCTCTGCCACCCAGTGGCTAACATTCTCTGCCACCCAGTGGCTGACATTCTCTGCCACTCAGTGGCTGACATTCTCTGCCACCTAGTGACTAACATTCTCTGCCACCCAGTGGCTTACATTCTCTGCCACCTAGTGACTAACAATCTCTGCCACCTAGTGACTAACATTCTCTGCCACCCAGTGGCTGACATTCTCTGCCACCTAGTGACTAACATTCTCTGCCACCCAGTGGCTTACATTCTCTGCCACCTAGTGACTAACATTCTCTGCCACCCAGTGGCTTACATTCTCTGCTGCCCAGTGGCTAACAATCTCTGCTGCCCAGTGACTAACATTCTCTGCCACCCAGTGACTAACATTCTCTGCCACCTAGTGACTAACATTCTCTGCCACCTAGTGACTAAGATTCTCTGTCACCCAGTGGCTTACATTCTCTGCCGCCCAGTGGCTGACATTCTCTGCCACCCAGTGGCTAACATTCTCTGCTGCCCAGTGACTAACATTCTCTGCCATCCAGTGGCTAACATTCTCTGCCACCCATTGACTAACATTCTCTGCCACCCAGTGACTAACATTCTCTGCCACCTAGTGGCTAACATTCTCTGCTGCCTAGTGGCTTATATTCTCTGCTGCCCAGTGGCTAACATTCTCTGCTGCCCAGTGGCTAACATTCTCTGCCACCTAGTGACTAACATTCTCTGCCACCCAGTGGCTTACATTCTCTGCTGCCCAGTGGCTAACATTCTCTGCCACCTAGTGACCAACATTCTCTGCCACCCAGTGACTAACATTCTCTGCTGCCCGGTGGCTAACATTCTCTACCACCTAGTGACTAACATTCTCTGCCACCTAGTGATTAACATTCTCTGCCACCCAGTGGCTTCCATTCTCTGTCACCTACTGACTAACATTCTCTGCCACTCAGTAGCTAGAATTCTCTGCCACCTAGTGACTCACATTCTCTGCTGCGCAGTGGCTTACATTCTCTGCCACCTAGTGACTAACATTCTCTGCCACCTAGTGGCTTATATTCTCTGCTGCCCAGTTGCTAACATTCTCTGCCACCCAGTGACTAACATTCTCTGCCACCTAATGGCTTATATTCTCTGCTGCCCAGTGGCTAACATTCTCTGCCACTCAGTGGCTGACATTCTCCGCCGCTCACTGACTAACATTCTCTGCTGCCCAGTGACTAACATTCTCTGCCACCCAGTGGCTTACATTCTCTGCCACCTAGTGACTAACATTCTCTGCCACCTAGTAGCTTACATTCTCTGCCACCTAGTGACTAAC